GCAAAGATATTCACCAACCCCACATCTGACAGAGGGCTGATCTCCAAAATATACAAAGAACTCAAGAAGCTAGTCTCCAAAACACCAAACAACCCAATTAAAAAGTGGGGTACAGAACTAAATAGACAATTCTCAATAGAGGAATCTAAAATGGCTAAAAGACACATAAAAAAAGTGTTCTTAGCTATCAGGGAAATGCAAATCAAAACAACTCTGAGATACCATCTTACTCCTATCAGAATGGCCAAAATCAAAAACACCAATGACAGTTCATATTGGAGAGGATGTGGAGAAAGGGGAACACTTCTCCACTGCTGGTGGGAGTGCCAACTTGAACAGCCACTTTGGAAATCAGTATGGTGACTCCTCAAAAAAATGGGAATTAGTCTACCACAAGATCCAGCAACTCCACTCTTAGGCATATACCCAAAAGACGCACATTCATACAACAAAGACATCTGGTTCAACTATGTTCATAGCATCATAGAAGCACTATTTGTAATAGCCAGAACCTGGAAGCATCCTAGATGCCCCTCAACCGAAGAATGGATAGAGAAAATGTGGTACATTTACACAATGGAGTACTACTCAGCGGGGGAAAAAAAAACAATGGAATCTTGAAATTTGCAGGAAAATGGATGGATCTAGAAGAAACCATTCTGAGCAAGGTAACCCAATCGCAAAAAGACAAACATTGTATGTACTCTCTCATATGCGGACTTAAGACATAGAATAAGGATCACCAGCCTACAATCCCCACTGCTAAAGTAGCTAATAAACAAGGAGGACCCTAAGAGAAACATACATGGTCCCCTGGAGAAGGGGAAATGATCAAGATCTGCTGGGTAAATTTGGTGCACAGGAAGAGGGGTGAGGGAGCTAGGAGAATGAGAAGGGGAGAAGAAGAAGGATGCAGAGGACATGAGGGAGCAGAAAGTTTGAGTCAGGGGAAGAATAGATGATAACAAGAATGGAGATATCATAATAGAGGGAGACATTTCTTGGTTACAGAGAAATCAGGCACTAGGGAAATGTCTGGAGATCTACAAAGATGACACCAGCTAACAATCTAAGCAACAGAGGAGAGGCTTCCTTTAAATGCCCTCCCCTGATTATGAGATTGATGACTGACTTATATGCCACCAGATAGTCCTCATCTAGCCACTGGTGGAAGTATAAGCAGATACCCACAACTAATCACCAAACTGAACTGGAATCCAGATGCAGATGAGTGAACAGCAAAGGGGTCCAGACCAGGCTGGTGAAACCCACAGAAACAGTTGACCTGAACATCCGGGAACTCTTGCTCCCCAGACTGACAGCTGGAATACCAGCATGGGACTGATCCAGACTCCAGGAAACCTCAGAAATCTATGGGACCTCCTGTAGAAGTTCAGTACTTATCCCTAGCATAGGTGTGGACTTTGGGAGCCCATTCCATATAGAGGAATAAATACTCCCTGAGCCAAGACACACGGGGGTGGGCCTAGGCCCTATCCCAAAGGATATGATAGATACTGATGACACCCTATGAAAGGCCTCACCATCCAGAGGGAGCAGAAAGGATATGTGATAGATAGGGTTTTAGTTGGGGGGGGCAGTAGGGGAGGACTGGAGGGAGAAGGGAACTGGGATTGTCATGTAAAACAATCCTGTTTCTAATTCAAATAAAAAAAGTTGGAAAAAAAAAGAGATGAATATCTGTGGGTTCAAGGATAATATAGTCTATAAATCAAGTTCCAGGCCACACAGGGCTACATAGTGAGACCCTGCCTCAAAAATAAAATGAAAAAAAGCTGGAATCTTCTCCTTTTTCTTCAATAATGCACTGTATGAAATAAAAGACAAATGGAGAATACGCCAAACGGATGTATGTGGGACTGCTGGATCCTTTTCAGGTAACATAAAAAAGTCCCATTTTCACAAAACAAAAGCACATGTGTATTTAGTGAGCTAATTCAAAACCTATCACTTCTGCGGTGATAAACTCTGTAGTTCTTCCTTAAACATCTGTTAGTTCTAAATATTTTAAATAGGCAAACTTTTTAAATCCACAAATGTTTGTGAAATTTTTGATAAGATTCTTTTGGTTTCCAGTATATAGCCATCAATACTTTATTCAACACTAATAGAGTAAATCAACCTGCTTTGTACCTAATGAATAAATTGTTCGTAGGAAGTCCTTTTGAATTATTCTGTAGAAATAATTTAATTATTGTTTAATACCACCAGCTATCAATGAAAACTACACACAAAGTAATTTGAGTTTTTTATTATTTTAATCTATATAAGCATTCCATGATTTATGTGGGGTTTTTTATTTTATAAAAACTAAGGCTGGGGGACTAAGGAAGTACAAGGACCACTCTGTAAATCCACAGCCAGTACTCTGACCAGGTCCAGAATTAATCTCTGCCACTAGACAACACTAACATTGAAAGAGTTCTTTAAAATATTTCCTTCACCTTAGCATTGTCCCTAAGACACACATTCCCCAAGGCTTCTTTAAAGTAGACATTTTCTAATCAAAAATTTGTCTCTTCTCTTTGAACTGTTTCCAGTTTCCAACATCATATTTTCAGGAGTAGTCATAACTATGGGCTTCAATTTACAGTGACAGCATCTATTTGCACACACAATTGTCCTGGGCTCTGTTAATCACAACAGAATGCACATCTTTCTGAAAAGGATGAACTATTTGTGGCACTGCTTTAGTTTTCCCTTGTGTTTCGTTCACCATTGAGCATCCCTATGTTCATAGCTATTTCTGCCTTGATTGTTCTACAGCATAGTCAACACTTGATAAGATTTATTCTATTCCCTTTTGATAATATTTTCAAACTTGTGAGTGTACCACAAAGACAAAACAGGGACTGAAGAGTCAGGGGCTACTTAAACTTAATGGCTGTACATCATTTGAAGAACTATCCAAAAGCTAAAGAAGTGGAAGATGGCTCCCTATAGAAATTGCTATTTTATCAATAAACACTGTGAGGGAAAAGTTGAATTTTAGGTGTCTAGAAAACACTGCATATTCACAATTTTTAAAAAGCACATAAAAGAGACTTTGAAAATTAAAAGTCTAGTGACCTATAGAGAATACAAGAAAAGAGTCCATGCAGATCCATTTTAACAGCTTCATTAACAATGAACCTTACGCAGAATAACAATAATGGGAAGAAACTCTGTTCTGGTTAGCATTTCTTCAACTTGAAACAGGCTAGGGTCATCTGGGAAGAGAATGCCTACCAAGGAATTCCTTCCATCAGAGTTCATGGGTTGTTTTCTTGATTGTTGATTGATGTAAGTGGGCCCAGCCCACTGTGAGTGGTGCCACTCCTGGGCAGATGGTCCTGGATAGTATAGTAAAATCAGGCTGAGCAAGCCATGGAGGGGAAAACAGTAAGCAGGGCTCCTCTCTGGCCTCTGCTTCAGTTCCTGCCTCCAGGTTCCTGCTTTGGGATCCTGCCTTGAATTTCCTCCGTGATGAACTACAGCACAACTCTAAGCTAAAATACCACATTTCCTCATAGAGTTGCTTTTGCCATGGTGTTTTGACACAGCAATAGAAATCTAAGTCACAGAATTGTCAGAAATGTTATGACACAACCGATACTTTTGCAAATTTTGATAGTGTCATGCAATTGAAAAACAATTTATTAATGGTTTTTAGCAGGGTACTTAATATGCTTACTGTCCCATTTTGCCCAAGGCTGTATTAACCAGATTATAGATGTGAATACTTTTAAAACAAGCATTCTATGCTACCATCATGACAAAATGTTTGCATTATTTAACTTCTTCCAGCCACCAGAATTTTTTGTAATCTGTTTAATTCATTCTGAATTATTGATCAGTTAGGATACATGTAGTAGATAGCTGAATGCTCTTTACATTGTCTTGTTTTGAAATTTCTGTCAATATTACCGTCCATTTTACTTAAAATATAGCTACTACAAAATTCGAGTTAACATTTGTCCAGTGGTTGAACAGAAGAGTCTGAAGTGAGATGGCTTGAAGAGTTACACAGAGTGTATAGTCAAGTCCTGGGTACAATGTAAGATGACAAAACAGAATTATGCATTAGATATACAGGTAAGATACTTGCATGATTTATCCCATTTAATGCAATAATTCATTGTTATCTTTACTACACATATGACAAAATTTAAGACAAATAAAGTAAGTTAGCTTACCCAAAGTTAAAATATATCAAATGCTAAATAAAGCCTTTACACACAGTGAGGTTTCCTGTTAGCATCTCCTCCTGCTAGCCTTCTTGTGTCTCAAATGAATTTTATGATTAACATAGCTAGGTTCTATTAGACTCAGGTCAGGCCTCACTTAGTTAGACTCCTGCATTCTCTCTAGGGCTTGCAAGAGGTGCCTCATTTGGACTTCTATCGCATATCTGTCTATGATATCACCTTTGCTACATTACAGAACCAAAGCGTCTCCATAAGAGCATCTTCACTAAGCCCTGCCTTTCTTTGTGAATGTTACTATTCTTACCAAATTGTGCCTAGTAGCTACTTAATCATTTTAAATGAACTGACTAAGTAAACAGAAAAATTGACTGAAACGTTATAAGAAGGGAAACAAAAAATGGGTTTGCAGTACAACTTTATTCATCTTCCTCAATGATTTAGGCAGTAGCACAGATTTCTTGCATTTATTATACTCCAAGATAGACTTTTGTAAAATTCAGGGTCTTCTTGAACTAGAACTTGCAACATTGCTAAAATTAAGAAATTTGGTAATGTGTTATGTCAGTCAGTTCTGGTCAACCTACAACCTATCAAAAATATGAAGAGACCTCCAAAAACATGCAATGTGTTGTGCCGGCACAGTGTTACAATGGAGAGGCTATGAAAAAAGGGGAGCGTGTTAGCTAGACCTTCCCTCTGACATGGAGAACCTTCTCAAGACAACCCCTAGCCCTTCGCAGGTGGGTCTGTCAGTAGTGAAACATTTTAGTGTTTGCCTCATGTTTTCCACATACTATCTTTTTAATGCCCAAAGATCTAATGTTCATCAAAAAGGTCAGGTCTAGCTTGCTTGAGGTGACCCAGCTGAAAAGTTAAAACTCTTGGTAACTTAAATTGTACAATATAAAAATTGATATTCTAATAATAACAGACATACTGTAGTCTATGTTCAATTACATTTACCTAATTATTAAATCCAATTATATTAATATGACACAACAGTGTGTTAATCAAACCAATATGCTTATTCTTAATTTGAAAAATCTGTAGAATTTTAAGACTCTATAGATATAATACGGCAATATTTTTGTGAGGGTTCTTTTAGACACTGAAGAGACAAACCAGGTCAGAAATTGTTGTCTTAACAACTGGATAAAAGTGAGTAGTGCATTCTTAACTATCTAGCTGGCAGAATGCTTAGTTAGTGTCTTTTAGCCTATGCTAGATTCTTAAAAAAAAACAGTATTTTTGGCAATTTAATTTTAAATATTTACATACCTGCTGTGAGTTCTTTATAGTCTCATTGCAACTGATTTCCTTTTTCAGTGAGATCATTTCTGCTCCAGGTTCTGCTAATTACAAGAAACTATGAAAAACAACTACCTAAAAACAATTATCTCCAGTACCACCAATAGAACTAATTTTAAAATCAGAGATAACTTTCCCCAGTTAAGTAAAAGTCCCTTGAGAATAATTTTTATTTTTTCAGATAAACTTTTAATTATATAAAATATCACTATGTCACTTAGGCAGATCCTAAGTTACTATGTTTGAAATATGCAAACACCCAAAAGATTATTCATCCACCAAAAAAAAAAAGGTGAACTTTCTGGAAATGCACTTTAAACCACATTTTAAAATACAAAGGGAAACAAAATCCATCCTGGAGTGGTGTGGACAGCCATGCATGTACATGCCACATCAAGACATTGACATCTTCAATCACTGATATCTACCATGTTATTGAGGCAGATTTTTTTCTACTGTACCTGGAGGTCACTGATTACCAGACTGACAGGTTCAGTAAGCCCTCAAAATCCTTCTGTCTCCACCCCTCAGGACTGGAATTATAGCACTCTTGTGTTAGTATTTGGCATGTGTTGCTATTTAAATATTTTTGTTCACTTGTTTTCATTTATTCGAAGATAATAAATAAGAGTAGGAAGGAGTGGGTTGCTTGCAGAGTGTGTGTTTATCATGTGAGGCATACTGCTTTTGAAACCAGCTCCAAAAAGGGAAATAATAAAGACTAAATAAAATGGAACAGGAGGAAAGACATTTATATGAGTGAATATGTTTGGTGAGCAAATTACTGCCCATTGTCTAATACTACGTCCTGCTTTCTTGTTACAGATCAGATACTAGACTGATTAACACTACTAGTTTAAATGGTACATAAAATGGTGTAGAATACACTTTAGACACAGAGTATGAATATACTTAATGCCCTACCAATTAAATTTAGTTTCCCTTTTTTATCTTATAATTTAAATAATTATTTTTGTTTTAATTATGCACACGTGTGTTTGTGACAGTGAATAATAAAGATGCCCACAAAGACCAAAGGCATCAGCTCCCATAAAGCTGGAATTGTAGGTGGTTGTGAGGCACCTGAGGTAGGAGCTGGAACCTGAATTCAGATCCTTTGCAAAAGAATAGCATGTACTTTTAACTGGTGAGTCATGTCTCCTCCCTTGGTTTTCCTAACAAAAACAAACAAACAAACAAACAACAACAATAAAAAAAATAATAGTACTTGCAATATCGAAAGGTAAATCAGAAGCTCTGGGCTCAAGCTCCTGGCTTGCATTCCATTACTTTATGTACAGATTTCGGGTGTGCATCAGGGACCTAGATCAGCATTGAGCATTTTAAACTTTGGGAAATCTCCTAAGTCTAGTAAATGTTATAGTTCTCTGCAGATAATGGGATTATAAACTGGAAAATTTAGAGTACTGAAAAATAAAAGTAGAAACATTTAAATTGGCATACTGTAGTATGTAAATTGAATCTTACATTTAAAAACATTTTTCTTGAATCTCATCAGTACCATCTGTGTTATTCTCAACCCACAGGACTGGCCCCAGTTACATATCCTATGCACTAGCCCAATCTTGTCAACCCATACTTGCTCTACCCTGCCCATGCCACATTAACCCCCAGGCTTTGTTTACATACAGCTCCCTGGAACTGGCCTGACTGCACCAAACAGGCTTAACCCAGGATGCACATTGGTTCCCAGATCCAGCCTAGTGGGTGATGAGAATTTTACCTGCTGGCACCATCCCCAACCTCGGAGGGTCTTGCATTGGCTACACAACCTATAAACTGGTCTAGCCTGGTGAGTATGCATTATCCCAGTCCACTCATGCCAGCCTCACAGCTCCAGGCACAGTTCAGGTCAGTCAGCTTGCAAACCAGCCCAAGCAGCCCCTATCTTTGTCCCATTCATGTGTTCTCTTGCTCACCACTAAAGTGGAATCACCCTATTTCTCAAATCCAAAATCAACACTGAGTATCTGAAGAACTGACCAACTAACTCATACCTGATTTGAAATCAACCAAGATTGGGCAATAAAAAAAATTCTATTAGAATCTTACATTAGACACACAACAACTAAAATAAGTCCACATCCCCATGTCTCATCAGAAAAGCATAAGCAACATGAAAGACCAAAATGGTATAGCTCCTCCAAACTCACTAGTCCTACAAAAATGTTCTCCAATGAGAATTACCTAAATGAACCCCAGGACACAGAACTAAAAAAACAATCATAGACTTCATCAAATAATTCTAGGAGCATAAAGAAGACATGGACAACAGCTCAATAAAATTAGTGATAACAGCAAATAAACACCTGAATGATGCCAAAGAAAACAAAAACCACAAAAGCAATAATGAGGGTTGGAGAAATGGCTCAGAAGTTAAGAAGAGCACTGCTGCTCTCCAAAGGTCCTGAGTTTTATTCCCAGCAACCACATGTGGGTCACAACCATCTTGTGCCCTCTTCTGGCATGCAGGGATACTTTCAGGCAGAACACTGTATACATGATAAATAAATAATAAATCTTCCTTAAAAAATGAAATGAAGTTGACAACCCAAGATTTGAAAGCTTAATTCAATAAAAGATAGAAATATTGACAAGAACTCAAGCTGGAATGAAAATGTAATTGAAAAACTCAAGAACCCCTGAAAGACCCCCTGATGTTCTCTCTGGAGCAGGCGGGAGGAGCAGTTGACTGAGGGCAGTGCGGCGGGGACTGAGCAGGGCAGGGCCAGGGTTCGGCCAGGGGCTGGAGAATGCAGCGCGGGCGGCGCCTGGAAGGGGAACTTGAGCTGGGAGAGCAGCAGTGCTGCTTGTCCAGGAGCTGCGAGCGGGGAGCCGCCTCCAAGGCCAAGGACATGGGGGCCTCGGAGCTTCCGGGGCATCCCAAGCCTTCACCCTGGCAGGGCTCGCGCCCCCGGCCCGCCCCGCCCGGCACCACGCCTCGGGGCTGGGGCCAAGCAACGAGCACCAGGTGGGCCGGCCCGAGGGTGAGAGCACCAGTTAGGCCAGCCCGGGGCCCCGCCCCTACACCCCCACCCTCCGTCCCAAGGTCAGCTATCCGGACGCAGAGGGAATTGAATCTGTTGTACCAGACCCAAGACCT